AATCAAGTAAATGGCCTTTTGCAGCACAGCAGTAATCCTGCCTTTGTGGAAAAGAAAAGGCGAGAAATGTCACCACATTGATTGACTTCTCCTGTTTGCACTATTCATTGCTGCCATGTCCAGATCGCCCATTCACCACAATGAGACATTCAAGTTGGCAGATCCAGGCAGGCTCCTTCCTCCCTCTATATATCACTCACTATCTCGACACCGACTTGGCCGGCAGCGCAGGCACACACTCATTGTTCAGACACAGCAGCTGCCAGCTACGAGGACATAATGTGCAAGTTTCTCGCTGTCGCTTCCTTCCAGCCTGACAGGACGGGAGGGAAAAATGGCTTCCCTTTGCCCTCTTTTGCCAAAGCTGTAACTCAAGAAGGTGTCTGCAAGAACAAATGCAAGAAGGAGGTAAATCAGGTAGATTAGACCTCGCTGACGGGTAAATGTATCCTCCATAGTGTCAGATTTACATGTCTTTCTTTGGATTTACCCCCGTTGCCTCTTGCAATTTGAGTCATCATTCCCTGTCTCCAGCTCGAGCAGAGGCCATGCACGGTTCACAGAAAGCATAGAAATGTCATGCTAACTCTACATTAGCCGCATTTTTCCTCCCTGACCTCGGCCCTCCACCCTTGGTGCTATTTCCTTTCACAAATAGAAGATTAGCTCATACATCACTCCCGCAGATTCCCAGTCCCAAGAATCATTTGTCATGCTCTATTCAGCAGACTATTCATTTGTTTCTGCTCCTTTTTAACCTCTAACAGATCCAAGAACTAACTAAATGCTTTAATAACACTGCTGCTCTCATAGTTTTGCTACAACACTTGTGGAGCTGTGCAGTCAGTTATTCACCTTTCTCCTTACCTGAAATGACAAACTAAGCTATTTTCTTTGTAAATGTTAACATTTCAAAACTTCACAAACCTTGCAATGACACCAAACCAAACGGTGCTGCTTTTCTCTTGATCACATGAAGCCACTAAATGTATCTTTCATTTATCTAGAAGTAGTCTGAGTGTTGCCTGCTTGAATAAATACCTACACTGCAAAACAAACCGCACGTAACATTTCAGTTCTATTTATGGGCTGAGTTTTTTTCTTCTTCTTCTTCTTCTACAACAAGTCTAAAAAAGGTTGGAAAAGTACAAGCAGTACGAGCGTGCGTCGATGTGGTTGTTGAGGTCTAATCGCTGCATTCTGTCAGAGAGATGTAATCACATTACGCCATGCAATGACGACTCTCCGGGTATAATCGCCACCTAGTTTGCAGATGCAGTGAAGTGATGTGTTGAGTCTCGGACACACACACACACTTGAAGGTGCACACGTTAAAATCTGCCCTTTCATACGAGTTGTGTCTGTTTTATCTTAGCGCTCTCTGTCTTCTATCTATCAATGCGGCAGTCCCCGCACATCTGCAGCACAGAGACGGTGCAATGAGGATCCAGTGTCTAACGTCTTCAAGAATACTGTCATAGTTTGGTGATGAGATAATTTCACATTAAAATACAAACCATGATGCATTGTTCACCAAAACGCTGGGCAAAAGTCGCTTATTACATTATTTCAAATGAAATGCTTTGGTAAGAACACACTCGTTTCTCTCTGCGTGTATATGTGTTTGGAATTCATACAGTTGTTAGTGAGGAAGACTTTCAAAATGTTAGGTTTATAATCTTAATGCTGTGAGGAGTAAAAACAAATCACTCTTTCAGCTATTTTAGCATTAATGAAGACAAAACTTCATTAATGTGTAACATTAAAAACATTTAGACCAAGTTTTGTTCTGAGACGGTCGTTCTTCTCTAAGTCTGAAGTAAACACACAATTATTCAAATAAAACAACCTTCAGACACTCAGCGTCTTACATTTTTAAGATAAAGTTGTGCAATTCAAAAGCTTCTAGGGATAATTGAAAGAAAGGGAGGGTAAGTCGTCTAGTCTCAGTACTATCCACCTTGTTACTTTAGATTCAGACGAATGGGCAAAAGGCTGAGGAGCATTCTGCTCTTTATCTGGCCAGAGCAGAGAAAGGAGTGTTTGCTGGCTTGATTTCGGTCAGAAGAAGCTCTATTTTTCCTAAGATGTGGGAGTGATACTGTGATGAGTGTCTAGATACACAAACAAAGGTATTGCAAATCAGGAAAATCACTTCTACTGAATATAGAAGCAGCTATCCACTGACTTTCCATCCCAACATTCATAGAGCATAACCCAAATCAAGAAAGGTTAAATTACAAAGAATATTCTGCCTTTGATGGAAACATTTTGTATAATCGTTTTTCTTCTTGTAGTAGTAAACATGAACTTCATACTGCAGTCTATTCTTAGTTTTTGTCTCAATTTATTTTACTAGATTATATTGATTCATACATTTATTTTAAGCTGCCAAACCTTTAAAATATCAGTGAGTGCTCTGAAGCCTTTTGCTGTTCACACTGAAGACTATAATCTGACGCATTTAGAGACGGCGCTGAATGTGTTTTGAAGGCGTGTAAAGCTGTGGCTGCATGTCATTGTGTGTGTACTTTGAGGGTTTCTCTGAATGTGTCGTATTTGTGTGATTCCTGACCTCAGCATGGGGCCTCGCTGCTGAACCTTCAGACTGTCCCACTGCAAACATGTGAGTGACGTCATGTATAGTACTCTGCTCGAGGAGGAATCCATATCCCCTTCCCTTAAAAGGAAGAGTTTAACACAGAGCTTCCAAAAGCACGCTTGTAAATTCTGTACTTGCATTTTGTAATCAAGATTGCACATTTTTGCAGAAAGTTTAGAATATGTTGTTGCTCATATTCCATTTATCATATCAAAATCTTTTCACTGGAATGTATAATATGCACCAGGCTTTAGAGAGATACAGGTGTGCATCTGCTCAGAGCCAGGAAAGATAAAGCAACGCTCACTCAGAGATCAGCAATCACGTCAGCTCTGGTTGACGAATGAGGCTGATTCTAGTCTACTCTCCAACACTGATAATATCTCAACAACGCATGAGTGAAGGAAGGATATGTGTACATACAGCTGCTCCAACACTTCCTCAAGCATGAGTCCAAAACGCAACATCTTTGTATATTCTGCAAAGCTCACAGCCTGATCTAAGGTGAACCAGCAGAGACAGACAGGAATTAATAACCAAATTATCTCAGATTGTTAAAAAAAAAAAACAAACACTGTGTTCTGTTTCAAAGAACAGGGCAGGTCTGGATAATAAGTATCTCAGCGATGATGAGGACACCGCACAGGAATGTTCTCGATCTGATCCACATGAGTGATGTCACCCTGCGCTGCTTTTAAGTCAGCAGATGGCATGGAGATATATTGTGTGCCCTGCAAATGATTACGAGGAGGAGGAGGAGGATCAGGAAGGTCATGCAGTGTCACGTTTTGCAGCTACTGTGTTTTTTGATCTACTATATAAAAGGCTCGGTTACAGTGATTATAACTTATTGTGCCAGCAAATTACGTCAACGTGCTCTTGTTTCATATCGTCTTCGTGCTGTTTTCCCAAAAGCTTCGTTTCCATGACAAAATACAACTGTCAGACTTCCCCCGTAAATGCCTAAATTGATTGTGCAAGAATAATGACTAACAAATACCAAAAATAACAATATCATGATCTGCATGGGAAAGTACACACATCTTATTAGTGCCAGTCATGAGATGTTGCTGATATAGTGACATCCAACAGCCACAGATCTGATTTTCATGTTTATGCTGTCAACTAGTCCAAGATCATAAAGGCCTTTTTTCATAATGGAAAATGGAGTAGAGCTTGTATGACGTGTTTCTAATCTTCTGAAGGCTCAAAGCACTGATACACCGCAGGTCACACCGACCCATTAACACCGACGGCAGAGGCTGCTTCTCAAGTGCCCATCAGAAGTAACTGATACCGTTCGTACACATTGTTGAACAACATGTTTCCTCATAACAATGTGCAAGAAACTCTCGTCAGAGTCAGCAGTGACATGTACTTTGCTGTATGAAGAGTACTTGGGCAACACAGCAATAATAGACAGGCAAAAGCAACAACACAATTTATTTTTTAAAGAACTGTTTGCTGCTATTATGTTTGAGCTGAATGCATCTTTGTCTTACACTGGAATCAAACACCCCTATATAAACCGGTTAATCTATTTTTCAGGTGTGCTCTAGTCTTTGGCTTTTTGTATCTGTTTCCATACTTTTCAACTTGTAATGTGGTTTTCTGTTCAGGATTTTGTGCAGTTTTTATGTCGTGCAGCAGCAAAATTCAACTCTGGTTAGATTAACTCAATACCCATTAAAGGATCAAAAGCATCAAAGTATTAAAAATGAAAGTCAAACTAACGTGCTGCAAGCAAGACTTCCAACCATGAAAACCTTGACTCAGTAACTGTAGGACCTTTTGACTCTCTTCTTTCTTTGGTCTAAAATGATCCCAGACCAGCTGGCTCAGTAAACATGCTGGTGCTGTGTGCATTTTCCTGACATTACATCAGAGGAGCTGTAGGTATCCAAGTTCATGTTTCATGCCTCTCGCCTGCTGCCATCTGGAGAAGTCGCCACACGAAGCCGCCTGCTGCTGCTTTAAATGGTAAAGATAGCAGGATGAACCGGCTCGTATTTCAAATACGGCCGGGCTCCTCACATTGACATGAGGCAGTATGTTCCAAACGTGAGCCGAGTTCTAAGTTTTTCTTTGCTACGCATGAAATCAGAGGATACAGATGGTCATAAAGTTCGCTCCCTGCCTTTCTGTTTTGTTGCAAAAAGAACAAAGATGGGTGAGACACATGCAGCGTGTGTGCTGAAGTCATGTTTAATGTCACATCTGTTGACGGTTAGGATGCCGCTCTAGCTCTCACACCCCTGCTGCTCCCGCTGTACTCAGCACACGATGAGGTCATCACTCATTGACAACCACTCAATCGCTAATTAATCAGAGGGGAACCAGGTTTATCTCCAACCCCCAGCCTTGATTTAAATGCTTGCTGGGCCTTCCAAAGAGGAGGTCAGTCCACAGTCTGGGGCATCCTCCTATGAAAAAAGGTCAATTAAAACAGACAGCAAGCAGAGTTCAGTGCTTTTAGGAAGGGAAAAAAGGCATTGGCCATTCCCAAATCCTGCTGCATATAACCCTTGGGTGTAATCACAGCTTTCTGCTTTCTGAGGCAGAGTAAAAAGGAAATGATTCTATGCAGCTAAAATGCATCATACAAAAACACATGAACGAGAGTGAACTTAAAGCCCGCTGAGATCTGGTGCCTATTGTAGTGTACATGTCGAGCTGTGGCAGCCGGTCCCAAAACACAGAGAGCTGTTTTAACTCTCCTCAAACAAGCGATAAGTGGCTTTTCCCTTTAGAAGTCAAAGCTTTTTTGAGGTTTGTAGTTTTCCTAGCCCTCTGTAATAATGTTTTGGAAGGTGTGCAGAGCAGAACAGAAGCCGCTGAACAAACTCTGGGTTTTGTGTTTTGGGCGAACGACTAAAATGTCATTTACTCAAGCTCCTCTGGGATTCTCTGTTTCTTTCTGCCTGAGTTAGTCTTGATGAAAAGTCTGCTTCTACAACCTTAAAGGATCAATGAACTGTTATATGACAGTCGTATATCTTCTGGTTGAAGCTTTTTGTCAACAGCACTGGAAGTTTCCAGAGGTTATTCCCTGTTGAATTGACTACCGGACAGCGAGTTCTAAAAGATAAATCTGGCTTCTATCAACTGGTTTTGTTGTTTTGGATATCAGTTCCCTCAGTATTTTTACGTTTGTACTCTCTGAAGTAATTGTTTTTATTGTAGAACGCCAGAACATTGCTTAAATGTTTTGGCAAATATGTGCATTTGCTTCCTTTTAAAAAGTTAGATGATAAGCTTGATATCACTCCCATGTCTCAGCACTCATTTTTAGCTTTTAAAAACCAGAAGAAGGGTAGCTTGGCTTGGACGAATAAATTGTGCTGCAACGGCTGTTGGTAGCTCCAGTGAGTTGAAGTAAGTTTGAAGTAAAGTGGAAGAGATGCTTGGCTAGCTGCTTGGCCTTAAAGTTAACCCAGCTAATGTTAAGGCATGAATCGCCGCAGGTCGCACAAAAGGATTCAGAAAAAGGGCATCATTGGTGCTAGCAGCATTCTTAATGTCTTCAGAGATTTGAGCATAAACTCTGTCAAAGTCTGTTTGCATGAGGCTCATCAGGAGTGGTAGTTTATTGGAGTCCCTGACGATTTCCAACAACATTACAGCCATCACAAAACTCAAGCAAGAATATGCCCCCTACCAAGACATAGACCCACTCAAAACCAGCCTGTAAAACCACAAAATGATGTTTCCTGGTGTAATGTAAACCTAATTAAACAGAAAAACAATGAAATGATGTAATTGCAGTGAGTCAAATTTTTAACGAGGGAGTTTTCAGTGAACCACTTAGGCACTCATTTTACCATTCACCTTTGATTTCTGGAGACTCACCTTCAGGATTTTCTGAACATGTCTCGTAAAGTTCACTCCCTGCCTTTTGTTTTTGAACACTGTATTAAAACCAAAAGTAAAACTGCAAAATGGAGAACAAAGTGGCCACAAACATGAAAGCAAAATGTGCCTCCAACCATATTTAATTGAGCTAAGCCCTGTGTGGCAGCACTGAAAATCGACTCTCATTTAAGGATTCTCTGTCCAAACAATTCAGGGAGGAATGGCTGTCCAGTAAGAGGACACCTCTGGTTACACACATTTATAAACTTCACACATCACACATGCTTGCATTAAACCATAAGTTTAAGCTATATAAACAAGGTTACAGTTGAAGACAGCCCCCCACACCAGTTTTTTTTCTTGCTTTTCAGTACATTCACCCACGCTAAAGTCTGCTGGCAAACTCAAGACTGAAAAAATACACCCTCATCAACTATTTCCATGGTAATCTGGCATCTTGTTGAACATGCAGTGTGATTGATGCTTCTCAGAGCCATTAGCTTAGTTTTCTTTTTTGTTCCCCTTTCAGTCGTATAAATCTGTTCGCCTTTTCTCACGAGGTAATTAGCCCGACCCTGGACAGAGGTCTATTTTTCATGGCAGCCTGTCCTTTCCGACATGCTTGGTGACAAGGCGCAGAACCATCGTCACACAGCTCCCCGGTCCAACTTAAACATTCTACTCCGGCGAAAGTGCGATGATGTGATTGTCCCAAATAGGTCACGGGCCGACGTCCAGCTGTGTTTCCACTGTGAGATTAATTGCTGAGGGTGCATTTGTGTCGTTTATGGGCGTGAGTTTGCCTGAACATGTTGTAGATTACTTTTTGGGGTTGATTTATACACCTTTGTGTGTTAGTGATATGTGATAATGCTGTGGAAGCAGTAAACACAACCCTGCACGGTAACAGCTCTCTCTGACATTTACAGAAGAAATCAATCAGAACTTGTTTCCACCTTTGGCCTCCATCCATCTATGTCTGAGGGGGCAATGTTTAACAACATTTCCAAATAATCTATCCCAGACTTCTCTCACATTACAGTATTTATGGATAAAAGTTTCACTATTTGAGACGTTAAGCCTTCTGCAACATGCCTATACTGTTACCTAAAGTAGTTGTAATATCCCAGATCCATCACAGGGTTGAATGTTTAACAGAAGTACAGCAAATATATAATTATGTCTGCTGCCTCTGAGCCTCACTAGCACCGAAATGCAGAAATAGCTGTAGTAAAGCTTTCTTGCGATATGGTTTTTCACTCTGCTCCGCAAATACCAGCTGTAAATGTAAAGCTCGTGTGTGTATTCAAGCGCCAACCTAAATTATCTGTCGACAAACCCATGCCTCTCTTCTCTTTGGTTTCGCTGGATTGTCTCCAGTAAAAACTCTCAGTCTGCTCCAGGTTTGTGCAGAGTGGTTCAATAAAAGGTGATAATAAAAGTTAAGGACTTACAGCAGGTCATGGGAAAAACAATAATGGAATACTTCAGTCTGTTTTTCCCCCCCTGTAATCCAGAAGAAGACTTTGATTTAATGCTGACATTACATTGGATTATAAAGATATTCATATTTGGCGGCACAAGAGTGGCTGGAGTTGGATAAAGGATATGCAAACTTATGCTAGATGAAAATCTGTTTATGAGCCAGGCACTAGAGATTATTCAACGGCCCCTATCCTTATCCGTCATCACAAGGTCATGGAAAAAGACATTATTTTGATCATTCATTTCTAAGGCTTAAGAGGCCTTCTTACTCTGAAGAGCATGCTGACATCGACTCGTGGCTGGTCTATTTATAGCACCTCATACTAAAGGAAGTTAAAACATAGAACTTGAGGTATTTACCGTTGCTGTTAACAAACCAATGGAAGATATCACAACCTTTTCGCCAAAGCTCATGGACTTGGTAATCTAGTGTAGCCGATTTGCTTCAAAGCATCTAGGTCAGATATCCAAAATTACAAAATTCTGTCTTATTGCTTTAAATTGTACAGCACCAGATCTTTCCGAGGGGAAATAAACTGAATACATATGGCCGCTGAAATGCAGCAGCAACAATTGTGGCCATGTCTGCCAGAAGACTTGCAGCATTTCCAAATGGCTTCCAAAGAGCTCGGGTTAATTCGCACACTGACCTCTCGCGCTCCTTCTCCAGCAAGTTGGTAAACTCGTCACTTTTCTTCATGAACTCTCCGTGGTTCCTCTTCTCATCCTCTAACTTGTACAGGGCCTGCTTGTGCGACTGCTCCACCATCAGCAGCTGCTCCAGCATCCGCCGGTGCGTCTCTCTCTGCTTCTCCACCAACTTGTCCAGCTGTGAGGGAAGCAGACAAAACATCTGTCATTTCTGGACTGCTCTTTTTTTTTGTCAGAAGTTATTTAGTCAGATTATAATATATAATTTAATTACCTCTTCCATGGGTCTCTCATAGATGTCCTCCTCCAGGTCCTCAGACTTGCCCTGTATGGAGTCTCTCTGCAAGGCCTGAAGGACTTTCTGTGGTGTGACAAATCCATATTTGGCCTCCAACAAAGCCAAGTCGATTTTCTCTGCCTTCAGCACTGTGATCACCTCATCTCTGGCCTTAAATGGTAAAGAATATGGATGTGGTTAAATTCAATTCTGTGGATTAACATATAGCAGACTTCCAATACTCTAGCACCAGGACAGAAAAGGATGAATCTTAACCTGAGATGTGTAAAGTAACCTCCAAAAATAAATAACTGAGTGTTGACATTGTCTTGGTCCTTGCTCTGTCATCTTTGGACAAGTAGATACATGTTTTGAATATCTTACTTTTGCCAATCAAATTAGCAGTTTTTTTCATATCTTAATTGACCAAATCCACCAAAAAAAAGCTGCTCTGCTAGCTTGTGTCTCGCTAGCAACAAGACAAACTCTGCCTTGTTCCTATCATACAACAACAGTGCCAAGAGAGTCTTGGATCCAGTGCTTCAATGAAAGAAAGTAGCCTCAGCTGTTAGCTGTCCATTAACACTGGCTTTGAATCCATCTCCAGTGCCCACTGCCCATTGACTGTCTGTATGATTTTATGCCTGACTTGGGCTAGAGCCATGTCTGGAAACCCTGTATGTTGCTGTATTGGTGAAACGTTCCAAAGACTTAGACCACCATTTAACAGTTTTCGATTACCTGCAGCTCTCCTTCTAGCAGGCTCAGGAGAAATACCATGTCGTCTCGAGAAAGGTCCCTGCCCTTCTCCCTACGACCACCCTTTGCTGCACTACTGGTGCTGCTGCTCCCACTCCCATTTCCAGTCCCACTTGCACAGGTGCTGTTCTTTGTTGTCTTGTGATTACGTTGGATGGTGCCAGTGTCGTCAGGGGGCTCTCTGTGTCTGCTGCGACGTTCAGTCCTTCCTGCAGGGTCCTCTCGCTCTGCAGAACTCTTGCGTGCATCTGTATGCTGCTGTGACAGCTTGGCCTTGGTTACGTCCTCCAGACTGTTGCTGCGGGATCGCATGTTCCACTACCTGCTGAGTCAAAAAGATGCAAGGGTTAAGGCGTTTATTATCATTCTGCATGCAAATTTGAACCCCAATCTTCTGCACCTTGTCTTACTTGTGCTTGGCTCTGCATTACTTGTCTTGGTATTGGGGCAATAAAAGGACAAAACAACAAAAACATTACATGTTGACAATGAGTCAGTGACCTTAAGGAAGGAAACACTTAGACACTCTTTTCCATCATGTGTAATCAATCTGCACCGTTTGTTGCATTCCTGAAGTTACCTTGTGACCAATGAAATGTTAAATGTACATTTTCAGCCCAGAGGACTGAGGTGTTAGTTGATATGGATGTCACTTTCACTATACCTGCCAATAAATCCCAAAAGTCCCTTAAATGAATCCTTCACTTTCAAGAAAATAAGACTTCCAAATCAACAAGAGAGGACAATAAAGATGGACTGTAGGTTCACGTCATGCTGTTCAGATAATACCTGTTCGGTCATCACACCTACGTACTACATCCAATTCCACATTTGTCATCCGTTCAGCTATCGGCATGTCGTCATTGCCTGATATGTAATTATTAGTCACTCAGTGGAATACTGTCATCATCACAACGTCGTACCCCCGGCCACAAAGCATGATTACGCCACAAATTCTCAGACAGTGCCAGGACTTTTTTTGGACCCTGAACCTCAAGTCCTGTCACCACAAATTACCCTAAACTGATGGCCGTCATCTACAGTCGATGAATTTCCCCAAAGCGTGACATTTTTGCCCAGAAAAAGGCGGCTAAATGTAGTCTGCCAAAGAGTATAGGCACTGGAGCGCTGTTCTTGTGTACCTTCTTAGTTTCACTGATGGTGATAGGTGGTCGGATGTGTTTGTGCCTGGTGATCGGAAAAAAGGCTAACATCATATGGAGCCATTAAAAGCATCATGTCTACCCACCGAGGTCTGTTTAGTATACAGTGCGTCTTTGTGACATCTGGTTTATGAATGGGCCATTCAGTGACTCACTGACTGTGATAAATCGAACTATCATAAATACACGCATGCCGTAAGCCACAAGCTCACAGGCAAAAAGAAATGTTGGCTCCTTTGCCAAGTCAATCAAACATTTGCAGCATTATATTCAGCTAAAGAAAAAACATCTAAAGACGAACGTGGACTGAAGCAAATAACATGCCGAGACTCATTTCTGAGTGTTTCATGTTTTAGAGAATAATCTGCCTCAAGGCATTACATCATTGTGTATCCTGCTCAACTCTTGTCAAAAGATTTCCAACGAAGCTGTAAAGTTACTCTTGCTAACTATGTTTTTTTTTTTGCCAAAAATGTTCTCACCGAATGTTACATCGTAATCTTGACATGGAAGGTAACTTAAATGCTTATAAATATTTAAAGGCAACTTCTATGAAGGAAAAAGTTCTCAAAAAGCCAAGACGCCACCCAAGGTGTCTTTGGTGGCACAGAAACAGTGACGATTTAAGCTTTTTTTTATGTGGTTGATTCTTTGGATTGTATCTCTGTAGAAGGAAGAGTCTCTTTAAATCATTTAAAGCAGTTACTTAACAGATGATTACTCTGATGAAATATGGATAAGCTTTTTAATGAATAGAATTCTGTATCCACATTTGGGATCAACAAAACTTGAAGCTCTGGATAAACTAAACAAAATACAGAACACTATTTTCAGCTTGGTTGCCGCAAAGACAGAAAGGAAGATCTCACATCTCTGGCAGAATTTGCCTGAGACGCCTTAATTGCACCTTAGAAACATTGTGTTCAAACTGCTGCAGTGTGCGTCCGGCCTCTGTGTGAGGCCCTCTGACAGTTTATGAGTAAGAAAGATGGCTGGGTGATTGCATTGTGCACACTCTAGGCAAGGCGCCACATGATTCTGAGCTGAGGTAATTCCCTGCAGTCTAAGACAGACTCCACATCAACGGACTCAGATGTAGACAGAACTGTTCAAAATGTGTCTGCAAGTGTTTGGGCATTCAATTCTTGTGCAATATGCAGAGGAGGCAGTGTAGTTTATGTGTTTGTAACCTTACCCTGAGCGTCATTAGAACAGTATGTAACATGTCTAATAAGTTTATATATATAATTGATTTCAGCTCTCAGTCACTCATGCACAACTACAGCTGGTTAAAATTAACAAAGACGTGATGCAACAAACACACACTTGCATAAAAAGCAGCAGGATACAGTTTAGGACTGAGATTGTGCAACAAATCGTGGGGTCACAGACATGTAGCGCAGCTCTGCTGGGATTCCTACATGTGCAAGTATCACATATCTGCAAAATCTCCAAGATGGATCACAAATATATCACATAGTTCATAAAAAGGTTCACAGAGGGGACGGGAAAATAGCTCCGCACTGGATCTGACTTATCTCCAAATCAGTCCCTCACTGCCGTCGTGGGAGACGAGTAAATTGGTTTGGAGATCTGGGTTTTATCTCTGACGAGAGATGTTCGCGGTTTTTGTGAACTGTTATTAGTTATTGGAAACTTATAGAAAAGCAGCCAAATTCTGACACACTGCTATGGTGAGAAAAGTCCAAGAGAGCTGGCCAAAACGGGGTTGATTTGTGTTCATGTAATGGTGTAAATAATGTGTTGAACTGTTGTTACACTGTTTTTTACTATCAAAAGTCTGATTCTGCTCCTTAAAGATTTCTTTACAAATTTGAACCATAAGACTAACTTAAACTTAAGAGTTTTATATCACAATTTGGCAGAAAGATTTCCTAAATAAGTGAGATAGATGAAACAAATTGTTCCTTTAATCAAACAGTTGACCTCCAGTAAATATGACAAATAAATCAGATCCCATTCCTCTTCACCATTAAGCTTCAAAAAATCCCATCACTGTCAGTTGTACAGCATCACAGTCCAATTCCAAATAAACACAGGGTGTAAATTGACTTTGGAAGGGGTTGCTGCCAAATACAAACACAGCTTAAAAAAAAAAAATGCTGCTTGGAAATTTCCTTTGGGCCTTCCTGTGCTTGAGGAGGAAAAAACACTCGCTCTAAAATGCCTGTGTGCGCTGTGTGGGCACATATTTTGACCGTGTTGTGTTGTTGGTGTCGTCAGCTTGAAAAAGGTGTGAAGAAGAAACTGCCAAAACAGAGTTAATTTGTCACCATCTGTTGCAGGAGGCCTCAGATAACCCTGTCAGAGTCTTACAGGATTGTTTTTTTTAGCAGATTAACTCAAAAGAAAAGAAAATCATGGTGGTGAATATATTAATGTTGTTAAATCCTGGGACAAATTAAATCAGTAAAGATTTAGCTAGATGTCTTTTTTTGACTTGCATGAACCTGACACGCTTCAGTATTTCTCATGAAGACCCCGACTCTTAATTCCAAGTTAAATTTGATGCCGCAGGTATCTCTGTAGCATACTTCCCTTTAGCTTGTTGTTATGATGTAGCCCTGAAGTCCGGTGATAACGTATAAATGGTGGACTTTGGGGCCTGCCATCCAGGGTGGCAGGTTTTATGTCCAGTTATATAGTTACATATAACTTATAGTTTATGTAACGAAGCAGATTTAGTTACATAAAAAACAAGATTCACAAGCAGCACGCTAGCTTACAGTCAGTACTTACTGACCAAAAAATGATCTTTTTACTTTATCTTACCAAGTTTTTTTGGTCCATAAACATTACAAAGTTGTTTCAGTGCTTAAACATAACCAAGTCCGTTTTATGCTTTGGTGCAAACAGATAACCGATCTGCAGCTGTTTTGCAAAGATAGCCACATTATGATAATTGTTGCACATTCAAAAGTCATTAAATGTTCGGTATTCGTCTGCAAGCTTGTTCCAAAAAATCTTAATAGGATGTTCCTTATCTTTATCCCAAACTTAAGTTAACTATAAATTGCATGTCCATTACAGCCAACATATACTCCAGTTTAACCTGGATAGTCATCTGATGAAGCTCTAGGTATAGAAATACTGTCGTCAAGTTTTTACTTGTATTTCTAACGCCATAATAATACATCATGATCTCCATCTGTTGAAGTACTTATTGACAATCACTGCTTGAATGAACGGGTGTGTGACATGTGTAAAACTGCCCAGAGATGACTTATCCGTGCTTTGTCTTCCTACTAATCCCATGCAGCCAGTGTCAGGCGATTCTGTCAGAGCGGCTTGAATAACCTCCAGTCCTTTTTCGTTTTGTTAGCGGGGATCAGTGCCAGAAGGTGATGTTATTATGATTAACAGGTGCTCAGATCTTGTGCAAGGAACTTGGCCGCTTAGCTCGGTTTGGGTAATAAAGGCGACTCATTGAAAGGAATCATTCATGCTCATGCTCAATAATACACAGAGGTAGGATTAATGAATGTATTTTTTTGGTGTACAGACTCGATGACTTTTCATTTAAGGTATGCATATGTTTATACATCGATGTATAACACATGTACACACGGCGTACCTTTTTCAGAGAATCAGGGTTGTAGCAAGTGGACACATGCACTCAGAGCCAAAGTAAAGGTTGTTTTTTTTTAAGTGAAAGAATAGCCATGGTAATGTCTCTATAAGGCTGTATTGAGACAAGCTTGGGCATTGAGCTTAATGCTAATGACAGCATGCTAACATTCTCAAATGGTTAATCTACCATGCAGATGTTCGAGACGGTGTTCTTAGTTAGACTTTCAGCAATGGTGGAACGTAGTTACTGTACAAATGTTCACTTGAGTATTTTACTATTTAAACCTGCTTTTACTGTAAGTCAACATGTCTGTTTGCTTCTTTTTAGTTACTTGTACTTTACATCAATTTGACTTTCAACATGCAATGACGTTTTGCTAAAAGTCAAACCAACACATGAGTAAATACATGTACCATGTGCCCTTTAGTCCATTCATCCATTATCCAATTGACAACTGAAATTTTACTTGAATTACCTTTTGTGCCTATTCCTGATTATTCTTTGACTCAGATAACATTTCCAATTACCTTTAACTCTAAAATAGTATTTTTTACGATTTGGTTTCATTGC